CTTCGTCCGGCCCGTCGCAGAATTTCCATGTATCAATCCGCACCTTCTTGATGTCGCTGACTTCCTGAGGCATTTTGGCGGCTGTGTCGAGGCTCCTGTACTGGTCTGAGGGGACTGGTTCGAAAGCGGAATTGGATTTCTTGAAATTATTTTCTGTGGGTTTCGCGCAGTGGGGTGCACCCCGACAGCTGCATCTCTGTGGTTTCCGTCTTGGGAAGGCTGATGTGGCAGGGGGGTGAACATGGTCAAAGCTCGGCTTGTGGCTGAGTGACGCGGCCTGTGGCGAGAGTCGCTCCAGATCAGGGACAGCGACAATGTTGACAGGTATCTTTCGTAGATATCGGTCCATATTTCTTGCCGTTCAAAAGCAGACACATCTGATCAATATCAAGCTTGAGGATATTTGCCAGACCGTTTTACAGTCAAGGCATATCAGAACAGCAAGATGCCTACGCCGCTTGACAGAGCGATGCGATCAAAGGTGAGTGCCCCACCTCAGACCTCTCAATATATGACGTCTAACAACAGTTTGAGCAGAATGCCTTTTTGGGTTGGTTATCTCCCACTGTCCCTCGCACTTCGTTACTGACGATTTGCCAGCTTTCACCGGTTTAGTCGCGGGTGTTGCAGTGTGGGCCATCTGGGGAGGGGATATGTTTCCCCAGGAACATGATCCCACCGGAGAACCAGGGACTTGGACCAAGGAGGAGCTGAGGCGATGGCTTGCCGCTGTATTTTAACCCAGCGCCAGATCCCGACTCTTGTGTGCTGACCGCGAGACAGCGGAACCTACACCCGCAAGAGACAGACACCAAAGAGCAGCTGCTTGAAAGGGTACGGGCAAACTTGAGGATTCCGAGGCATTAGGACTTCAGGTCGACACCGGCACATTTGTTAAGTTGTTGAGGGATAAGTAAGGCACGGGGCGCCAGGAGAAAATTGACGTCTTTCCGGGCGCGGGGGGTTATGTTAAAGTGTTGTTCAGTAGCGCAAGAGATACCAAGGTGTTGTTTGTCTTCCGGGTGGTGTTTGTCTTCGTCTCTTTGCCTGGCATTCGCACTTGAAAGACACAAGCAGCAGACTCGAGTCGCTCGACCAACGCGAATGCAATGTGGGGCCATGCTAAATTGTCGGAGATTATTGGCCAATGAAGTGTTCTTACACAGGCAACACAATCCCGGGTGCCAGGGGCAGTGTGCGCAACGAAGGACAGCTTGCTCCTCCAACTTCAAGAGAATCTGCCCTTCTTTCAACCCCTCATCGCCAAACCATCGTTAAATTGGACTCGCGACAACTGGACCAGTCGTGGCCTTTTTGACACGATGGATTTCCTTCAGGTATGCTCTGCGCGCAACCTATGGCTTGGGTCCTGACAGCTAACCACCCTTCACAATAGCGCCTCGCGCGGTTCCTGGACCGCCCGCTGTTCCCGTGGAAGAAGCTCATCATCGGGTTTTCGGTTGGCCAGTACATGCTTGAAGCGTTCCTCGGTTTCCGCCAATATCGCGTTCTGCAGAAGACGAAGCCGCCCAAGGTTCTGGAACAGGAAGTCTCGCAGGAGGTCTACGACAAGAGCCAGGCGTATGCTCGCGCCAAGGCCAAGTTCTCAGCGATTAACGGTCTCTACGGTCAACTCCAAAACCTCGCATTCTACCACTTCGACGTTCTCCCGAAAATCTGGTCATGGGCAGGCAACATCCTTCTTCGCTTCGCACCGGCTCGCTTCACCGGCGAGATCTCGCAGTCTATCGTCTTCATCCTCGCCTTCATATTCCTCAACCAGGTTCTCTCGCTGCCGTCCAGCCTGTACCATACCTTCGTCTTGGAGGAGAAGTTCGGCTTCAACAAGCAAACGCCTAAGCTTTTCGTCACAGATATCATCAAGACTAACATCTTGGCCTGCGTCCTGGCTCCTCCCATCCTGGCCGGCTTCCTTTCCATCGTCAAGAAGACTGGCAGCCAGTTCTTCTATTACCTCTGGATGTTCGGCGCGGCTCTTCAGGTTTTCATGATTGCCGTCTACCCCATCGCCATTCTGCCCCTGTTCAACAAGCTGTCGCCTCTTCCGGAGGGCAAGCTCAAGACGGACGTCGAGGATCTCGCTAAGAAGCTCAAGTTCCCGCTCAAGGAGCTGCACGTCATCGATGGCAGCAAGCGCAGCGCCCACAGCAACGCCTACTTCTTCGGTCTGCCCTGGAAAAAGCACATTGTCATCTACGATACTCTGATTGAGAAGAGTGAGAACGAAGAGGTTGTCGCTGTGCTTGCCCATGAGCTCGGTCACTGGAAGCTGGGCCACACCACCAAGATGTTTGGCATCTCCCAGGTAAGTCACTAAGCTGTACGTTTCTCATGAACTCTGCTAACGTTATCAGGCCCACTTCTTCTACATTTTTGCCCTCTTCTCCGTCTTCATCAACAACAACTCCATGTATGCCGACTTCGGCTTCACCACCGAGCACCCGATCATCGTCGGCTTCCTCCTCTTCTCGGACATCCTGGGCCCCATGGACAATGTTCTTAAGCTGCTCATGAACATCCTCAGCCGCCGCTTCGAGTTCCAGGCCGATGCCTTTGCCAACTCCCTCGGCTACAACACCGAGCTGTGCCGCTCCCCTGATCAAGTTGCAGATTCAGAACCTGTCTACCATGGACGCCGATTGGATGTTTGCCAGCTACAACTTCTCGCACCCGATTCTGTCGGAGCGGTTGAAGGCGCTGAACTGGCAATCCACCGAGAAGGTGGTGGGGAAGGAGTCGGAGACTGAAAAGGCTGAGAGCAAGGATGATGTGGCTGTTGCTACTGGGCGCGACGAGCTTTAGACGGGATTGTTTTTTGTAAGAGTAATTTCTTTGAGTTTTAAGCCGGGGCAATGGAAAGCAATGGTATTCTTTCTCTGTGTGCTTGATCAGCTACTTGAACCCATTGACCAAGGAGCTCAATTCAATGATCCTGCTCAGATAACCCTAACCCTCAAACATCTTATCCGCCTCGACCTCTTGAACGCCTATGGAAAAAAAAAGTGGGATGTTACAAACTTTAAACCAGTGCCTACCTGTACTTCTCTCTTCTTTTCTCGGCCTTGCGCTTCTTCCTGTCTCCTCTACCAATACTCTTTTCTCGTTGGACTTTGGTGGTGGTTGAAGCGACAGCTGCCAAGCCTCTCCGCCAGCTGGTGCCAGCCCCGAAAGGCTCTCGCTGCGGCGCGATCGAACTTCACTCCAGAGCCGAACCTCCCCCAAAATTCCAGACCGATCTGCCCGGCGGCGGCGCACCACGACATTACGACAAGCAATTGGCTCAACACTGCAAGCAGCACATATTGAGAGCTGACCTGCGCCATCATGTTCCGTGTCTCCCCGCTCCTCGCGGCCCTGCGCCGGCCAACCGCCCAATTGATCCCTCGCTGCGCTTCGGCGACGACAGCCAGCAAGCCGGCTGCTGCTCGGTACGCCCCCATAGCTCCCCCCAATCCCTCTTCCTAACAATCAGCTAATAAAAGCACCACCAATATAGCACCTTCTCCCACCTCCCCACCCTCCGCCCCTCCCTCACCTCCCCCTCCACCATCTTCCGCGCCCCATCGCAAACCCTCCTACACTCCCCACCACTCTCACCACCACAACAACAGCTGAAACGACTCTCGACCTCATCTCCAAGTCAGCCATCACGACACACCCGGCTTTTGCGGGCGGTCAGATCCGGTGCGGTCCGCGCGCCACAATGGGAATGCCTCGCGGCTGGTGCAGAAGCGCCGCCACGGGTTCCTGAGTCGCGTCAAGACGCAGACGGGGCGCAAGACGCTTATGCGGAGGAGGGCGAAGGGGAGGAAGAGGTTGAGTGCTTAGTTTGGGGATGGGTGTGTGTGTGGATGAGTGTTGAGGAGGGGTGGAGGGATGGATGGGAGGTTGAGTTGGGAAGGGGTGGGAAGTGGAAAGTGGGAAGGGAAAGTGGGAAGGGCTTGGGTCGGATTACGGACATTATTTCTGTGCGATGGAGGGAGAAGAGGGGGGGTTGTTGATGGGTGCCTGAGAGGGCGGAGGAGGCTGTATAATACCAGAGCGGTGCTGTAAGATGTACTACTATCATGGGGAAATAGAGAGCTTTGTTTGGTTGTGCTGGGAGATTAGAACGGTCTGGTATTGATGTTGTGTTGTTTGATCCACGGAGGCACTGCTGTTGCATGGCGTGGTTTGGCAGGCCTTCAAACCACATTATATATTCACGGTCTTCTCGATACTGTTCAGCCAGAGTTGAAGACATCCGTTGACCCTAATGAGAACCATAGAAGGAGACACCATGATGTATCTACCATTTTTAGAACTTTGGCCGGAAACGGCTACGTCTCGAGGCATCTGAGTGGTGGTTGTCGAACGCTTGTAGCTCTGCTCTATCGACTGGCTTAACAATGAGTCCCGAGACACTTAGCCGTTGGCAAATCTCAACTGTAATTTCTGTATAGATTTAGCTATCTGCTCCTTTGATACTGTATCTAAGATGTCTCCATCCTACCGAGCCAACCGGCGGCTACCTCAGTCCTGCCTCTTATCCCAGGTCAGGAACTTCAGGCAAACGGTGAGCAGACCATGAATAAACTTTGACAGGACCAGACTATCTTGCTATCTATTAATTATATCAGTTGCAGCCCCATCACTGCACTCATCAGCCTAGATTTTACATGAAGTGCCATGTGGTATCCCTAAACATCAGAGGCTTTCTTGGAGGAGTTCTCGAGCCATCCGAGTCCTGTTTGTAGTTACCTAGGATATAGTCAAGTGTAAAGAGGCTTGTTTGTACTCTGCCTTGGGTTGGATGTTAAAGGGACTCCTTAGTTCATGGACGTTGTCTGTCGCCCGGACCTGTGTTTACATCGGGAAGCCGCAGGCCACTCCTTCCATCCCAGCTCATGACGACGCAGGCAACAAGGCTTCGCTCCTGCCAGCAACAGGAAGCTTATAAAAGCCAGTCCCTTTGCCCTCTTTCAACAAATAAACCAAAAACCTCTCTGGTGTATCGGTTAACATAGCGGATTCTCATGATAATATCATCATTTTCCGTTGCGCGGGGTTCGACTCCCCGGAGGGGTAACATTTTTGCTTTTCCGCTTGGCCACCCTTCTCTTCCTCTTATCTCATGGATTAATGCTCTGCTTTCGCTGCTTCACTCTTTTTGGTTTGTACCATTGAAGCTGACTCCCGCCCCTCTCTGACCTAAACCTAAGATACACTCACAGTCCAACCACGTTCTTTCTTCTCCGTTTGAGGCGATTGCTGGTTTCTTCAACACACATGCTTAGGCAGTCACACCTCGCTGTAATTAAATATCTGACGGAGAGATCAAACCCCTGAATTCCGTTTACTACAGGTTCCAATAACCGACATTGATGAGAAGTGCCTCCAAGTCGTCGAAGTGTTAGACGGGGGCCAGAGATATCAGCAAGGGCGGATCGAGTGCTCGCCCGCGATTCACTGATATCGAACCATAATGTCAGTCTCTCATCTTTCTGCCCTGAGATATGACTGAACAATGGAAATTGATGTCGTAAATACGTCTCAGAGAAACTTTCATTCCTTCCCTCGGAGCCGAGCGATTTTCAGACTGTACCAATCTGTAGGAGTTCCTTTCGGATTCTAAGGGTTCGTTCGCTGACTGCAACGGACATCGGAATACATCCTCCCTTGGGTAGAGCCCTTCTATACCACGGAGTTAGGGGAAGAACCTGAGATATTTGGGAGCGTCTTGTCTGTTGTCCCCTTTCTTCCCAGAGGGGATACAGGCATGGGCGGTGCCTCCTTAGGCGCACAGCACAACCGTCGTTCGGGTCTTCGGACGACACAAGCTCTTTCTCGGTTTCACCTTGGCGACCTTCCCCCACGTTACCTTCCCGAGTGCCTGGAATCCGCCATCACAGCAGCAGTCCTACCGGCACAAGACATGTCTCGAGAAACGATGCGGCGACGGCCTGGCAGGGAACGGCGCCACACCCACGTGGAACCGGAGCCTGGGGGCTGCCAAGACCTGGAACAAACAATCGCGGATCACGGCGGCAGGAGGCAATCGCGGATGATCAGCGGCGACCAGGGAGCCGAAGGATCGGACGAACCCCTGATTCTGTGACACCGCGGACGCATTCCGATGCCAGCACCATGCAGACACGAAGGAGCGTCGCCTCGCTCTGCTTTCCAAAAACAAGACAAGCCTCAGAAATCTTAACACCGACTTTCACGGAGCAATCCTTCCCTGCACTGTGATATGGATAGAGATCCTAAGCGGGCCCCCTCACCGGAAGCCGGCACTGCCCTGGGCATCAGATGGGGCCCTAGAGAAATGGCATGATGGCCTTGGACCTGGGCCAGTGAAGTTCGACGGAAAACGCATTGGCAATGCAGCTCCGTTGACGTGGGCTTGTGTCACCGGCCCTAAGACACAAATTACCCAAAAATTGCAGCCCAGAACAGTCGGCGTTCAATAGCGAGAGGGCCGGCGGGGGATCCCGCCAATTGCCCTGCCGTGCCAGCTCCACCGCCAACAATGCATCGCAAGCGGCGGCGTGCGGCTGGAAGATGGAGTTGATAACCCCGACGCCAAGCCAATCAGACGAGACCCTTTCGGGCGGAAGTGGCGCTTGGCGTCCCTTGGACCTGGAAATCCCCAACCTGGACCCTTGCGGAAATACGAGTGACAGGGGCAAGAGTCTGGGAATTCGACGCTGGAGGGTCACATCGCTCCATGGCAGGGCCAAGTTGATGGCTGAGTCCTGGGGGGACCGGATGGTTGTGGAAAAACAGATCGCCCCCCCCCCAGCATGTGTGGTTCGAGAAGAACTCACGAAAGACACCTCCTCCTCCGCCCTTGACCGTCTCGGTCTATTCATTCGCTTTGCTGTTTCTGGTTCCGGCAGCTCAACGTCTGCTTGCCGTGGTTCGGATCCATCTGTGAATCAGTTCGTCTGATCACACTCGAGTCCGGCAACCCGCCTTGCTGGTCTCCTGTCCGCTCGTTTCGGCCGCTCAACGCCCGATCTCTTCACGACGCTTCGACTTCAAGTGTCGAACCCCTCCAACATGAAAACCAGAGCGCCCATCCTCGCCGGTCTGCTGTCCCTTGCGGCTCAGACCGGCAGGGCCGATCCCACATGGCCCGCCGCCACGGATCAGATGGAGGAGATCGTCTACCAGCTGCAGGGCTTACAGGGCAGTTTGTTCAACGATATCATCACGCCCTGCAACAACGAGGCCGCGGGGCCTGGGCGGGTGACGGCGAGCGAGTGGCTTCGTGTCGGGTTCCAGTACGTTCTCTCAGTTTTGAGGTTGTGGGCTAGAAGAGGGGAGCGGGCAGAAAAAAAAGAAGAAGAAAAAACAATGTCGGGAGATGAGAAGCGGGCGTTCAACGGACTCAACTGGGGGTTCGGTTCTGCATGGTAGCTCTACGGGATGCTGACTCTGAACAGTGACATGGCGCCGCACAACCGCTTCTTCGGCACTGGCGGTCTCGATGGCTCGCTGCAGTTCGAACTGAACAACGGTGAGAACACGGGCCCTGGCCATGCGACGACGCTCCAGTTCTACGCCAACTACCTTAGCAGCCGGTCGAGCTTGGCCGACTTGATCGCCGCCGGAGTGTATGCCTCGGTGCGGTCCTGCGGTGGCCCCGTCATCCCCCTGAGACTTGGCCGCGTCGATGCGCAGGGCGCTGGTGCTTTCGGCGTCCCTCAACCCCAAAACTCTGCCGGCTCGTTCCGGACGCAATTCGATCGCATGGGCTTCACCCAGACCGAGATGATCCAGCTTGTCGCCTGCGGCCACACTCTCGGTTCCGTCCACAGCACCGAGTTCCCCCAGATCGTTCCCGCGTCGGTTGGGCAGATCGCCTTCGATACGAGCAGAGCCAACTTCGACAACAACGTGGCCAGCGAGTACGTTGCTGGCAACTCGCAGAACCCGCTTGCCGGAGGAGCTGCCGTTGCTGTCGACCGTCACTCCGATTTCAAGGTCTTCAACAGCGACCGTAACGTCACCATCAGGACTATGACCGATCCTGCTGTCTTCCGTGAGACCTGCCGGACCATGCTCCAGAAGATGGTCGATACCGTTCCGGACGGCGTTACGCTCACCGAGCCCATCACTCCGTACGCCGTCAAGCCGGTTGACATGCAGCTGACCCTAAACACGGGCGGCACATCCTTCCTCCTGACTGGCCGCATCAGAGTCAGGACCACGGCGCTGCCTGCCAGCTCAATCAAGAACGTCGTTCTTACCTGGAAGGATCGCAACGGCGGTAACAGCTGCGGTTCGTCTGCCACTTGCTCGACGACGGCTACCCTGCAAGGTGTTGCTACCGGGTTTGATGACACCTTTGGCGTAAGTTTTGAATTTGAAGGGTACAGTTTGACTGATGGTACTAACTGTTCCAGTTCTTTCCCATCTCGCTCACCATCCCTGCCGCTAGCGGTATCTCCTCGTTCACTCTTGTTGTCAACCTCAATGACGGCTCGAGCCAGACTTATGACAACAACGGGAACGCCTACCCCATGTCTGACGCCGTGGTCTTGCAGAAGCCCCAGAGCTGCCTGCTCCAGGGCTCTGGCGCTCTCACCGTTTCTGCTCTGGTAAGTATCCATGGGTAATTAGAAATCGAGACTCTGCTAACAGGCGCGATAGGTCCGCAACGATATCACTGATGTTCCGAACCTAGCCGTGTCTTACCTTACGCCGCGCGGTACCACCGACAACAACCCTGTTCCTAAGCTCAACGAGGCCACCGTGGCCATGACCAAGGGCAACTGCGTGGGCCAGTACACCTTCTACTCGGCGAGCTTCACCATTCCCGGCGGTCTCAGCTACAACGCCAGGGTCAGCGTGAGCGCTGGTGCTTACACCGACGACTTCAACAAGGCCAGCGACCTCTCCGGCACTTGCGGCACCTTCACTGGCGGCGCGGCCTGCGGCGGTGTCACTTCTGTGCCCTCCGTGTCGACCACCTCTGCTCCAGTTTCCAGCTCGACCAGCGTCCCCGCTTCCACCACCTCGAGCGCCGCCCCGACTGGGCCGGCGATCAAGCCTACTGTCGGTGGCTATGTCCGCGTCAACTGCCACACTGAGGGTACCGGCGCTCGGGCGCTCGGCGATGCCCAGTTCGCCTACGACGACATGACCCTCGAATCCTGCATGACCAACTGCACTGGCTTCGACTACTGGGCGACCGAGTACGGCAGGGAGTGCTACTGCGGCAACACCCTTCACTCGAGCAGTGTCGAGGCCCCTGATTCCGAGTGCAACATGGCCTGCGGCGGTGACCCCAGCGAGTTCTGCGGCGCTGGCAACCGTCTTGAGCTCTACTCGACGACTGCTACTCGCACCACGACCTCGACTCCTGCCCCCACCGGCACTCTCGCTGTCAAGCCTACCGTGGGCGCCTACGTCTTTGTTGGCTGCCAGACCGAGGCCACCACCGGTCGTGCGCTCTCCGGCAAGGGCTATGCCGACGATGCCATGACCCTCGAGACCTGCGCCACCTACTGCGAGGGCTTCACCTACTTCGGCACCGAGTACGGCCGTGAATGTGAGCAACCCTTCCCCCATAACCAACACCACTAACCCCCCACAACAGGCTACTGCGGCAACACCCTCAACACCGGCAGCACAGCTGCCCCCGCCGCCGACTGCAGCATGCTTTGCGGCGGCAACCCCTTCGAGTACTGCGGCGCGGGCAACCGCCTCGAGCTGTACCGCCTTGCCAACGCGCCCACCGTCGAGCCCACATCCTCCACCCCGCCGCCACAACCACCACCGCCCCGCCCCCACCGGCACCATCTCGCGCACCCCACCGTCTCCCCCTTCACCTTCGCTGGCTGCTTCACCGAAGCCGCGCCCGGGTCCCGCGCCCTCGACGCCAAGACCTACGCGTCAGGCGACGCCATGACCCTAGAGTCCTGCGCGACCTTCTGCGCCGGCTTCAAGTACTTCGCGACCGAGTACTCGGCGGAATGCTACTGCGGCAACACGCTGCACGCGTCCTCCACCGAGGCTACGGACGTCGGCGAGTGCGGCATGCCCTGCTCGGGCAACGCCCTGCAGTACTGCGGCGG